CGTCGTCGTCGTAGTAGTATTAGTAGGACGGCTGCAACTGTCGCAATCAGTAGGCAGCCCCGATGTGCCTGTGCCCCGAACTGCGCGCTCCTGTAGCTGCAGGTTTGGGATGTTTGGAAAAGTGAGGGGCGCCAATGTGGGGCCCTACATAGACTCTTATTGAAAGGACCCCCCAGGCCCCAGGACCCAGGATTTGATTTTGGATGTCGAAGCAGAAGGAGTAGCCGACTGCATTCTTGCTGTCCGGTGCTAAAGCCTAGATTCGAGACCCTGGGTGAGCTTTGTCAAAGCAGCTTTAGTCCGCTACAGGAGCGCCACAAGTGCAGAACCTGGGAAATGCCTGCATCAATGCGAAACATGCTTTTCGGCTGAGGCCGCCCTTGGGTCCGCCTAAAGCCTGCCCAAACCCCTACACCCCCTTGCAGAACTGCCGCCTGGAGAGTGTTTCATTAAACGCCTCAGAACCTGGAAACCCCGACCTCAGTCTCTCAAAGGGCACTTCTAGCATGTAACACCAGCACTACGGCTTTCAGCTCCCGTCCTCTCCCTCGATTTCCGTATCACCACCCACGGCTCCATCGTCCTGGCAGAAATTTGGGATCCAGGCTCTAGACTTCTTGCCTTCTTGCTAATGAAGTATAACAAGGAACCCCAAAATGGTAGTTGTTAACGCCCCTATATTAGCAGGCTTCACGCGCCTCGTTGTCGTCGAGGACGCCGAAGAGGGAATCGTCACCACTGCACGAGGACACGAGTGCCTCTTGCGCGCTGCAGATCTCCGTCTATGGGGTACTTTAAGCAGCATCTCGACGTAATCCAGCCGTCTTTGTGTGCAAGATCACTGACCCTGGTGCGCAGAGCTTGCGCTGCCGTCTGACGCAGGATGCAAAAGCACATTCTCTGGTGGTCCTTGTCTGCTTATAAGGAGATCCAGAACGCTGTTCATGCAGATTCCCCGTAGAGATTCGGTTCCACATCCCTGGGCTCGGCCCGTCTCCACGCCTCCCTCATGCCCGCTTGCGAGATGGATGCTGGAGTGTCGGAAGACCTGCGCACGGGTCGCCAAAAGGTGTCTGACGCTACTATTACTGCTGCTTGTGCAGGTATTCTTCTTCCTATTATTATTATTACTATTGCTACTATTATTAATACTATTCCTAGTACTATTGCTATTATCATTACTTGTGCCAATACTATTGCTACTCTTACTATTGGTGGGTCTATTCCTGGGCTTTCTTTTGGGCTCGGACTTGGGGATGAAACTTGGGGGACAGACTTTGCTTTGCTGCCGGAGATTCAGGACTTGCAAGGTACAGGCTGAAGGCTTCAGCGCACATCTCTACGACTTTCGGGCGGTTTTTAGGGTCTAGGGTTTAGGGCTTTAGGGTTCAGGGTTTAGTGCTTAGGGTTTAGGGCTTTAGGGTTTAGGGCTTTAGGCTTTAGGGTTAGGGTTTAGGGCTTTAGGGTTTATAGGGTTCCTGAAGGTGCTTTTCCGGGTATAAAGATGCATACCCTCGAAACCCAGCCGCTTGCCTGTCTTTGGGTTCCCACCGCTGTATCCACGTCCGCACCAGCTCTGCTGCCGGCGGCATCGCCGCCTGACAGGGTGAATGGCTTCGACCCCCTCCGCGATCACAACGAAATGCATGCCCGGTACTCACACCCTGGGGTATATGGGTAAAACAGACAGTGCATGCATATTTATTATTCTTATTGCTATTATTTTTTATTATTCATTATTATTATTATTCGTATTATTATTAATAGTATTATCATGTATATTATTGTTGCAATTATTTCTATCCGCAGCACAAGAGACACCAAAAGAGCAATCAAGCATGGGAGTGACTCACAGCGGAAGTCTGGCACAGGCACCCACCAGACTTGAGGTCTCAGGTTTCAGGAAAAACCTATAAGGCTTATTGGGCTTAGGGTTTGGGGCTATAAGTCTGTAAGGGTTTAGGGTTTTAGGGTTATAAAGTCTGTAAGGGTTTAGGGTTTAGGATTATAAGTCTATAAGGGTTTAGGGTCTAGGGTTATAAGCCTGTAAGGGCTTAGGGTTTAGGGCTATAAGTCTATAAGGGTTTAGGGTTTGGGGCTATAAGTCTGTAAGGGTTTAGGGTCTAGGGTCATAAGTCTATAAAGTCGTGGTCGCCACAGGCAGGAAACTCGCACTGCTCAGCCCGTCCAGCCCAGTCTTCATCCTACAGCCCAGGAGATATCCATAAGAGACCACACCACACTGATTATACAGCTCTGAAGCCCTGATCCCTACACCGTAAAACTTTGATGCGCGAAGGTTCCAAGACCTAAAAGCCTAAACTGCTAAGAATCCATCCCCACCCCTGCCAAAACCTTCCGGAACCCTAAACCCGAACCCCCTA